GTTAAACATCCAGACGGCCAGACACCAGCGGAACGGCTGAGTCACTCTCACTGCCCTGTTGTCGGAGGGAGAAGGTTGGAGGAGCTCCAGTGATTGTGAGGCGCAAACGTTGCTTGGTAGCCTCCCCGACTCCAGCAGCCGAAGAGAGAGTCCAGCTGAGGCCATTTCTGGAGAAAAAAAAACACAAAACGGTCAAGATTGTTAGAGAATAAGAACGCAGGTTTACGTGGGAGCGAACACTGTGTCCTATAGAACACTGAATATGCATAGGTAGTGCACCAGCCCAGTCTAGACAGGAAGCCATACGAAGGAGTGGGAGGTATATTAAAAGCACCAATTAGCAGAAGATTAAAGTCATCTTCGTTTATCTCGGAGGCCGTAGACACAACCGCGGTCCGCTCCCTTTCCCACAGGAGTAAACACAGGAAGATGCTGCTCGTTTACTCTGTGAACCAATCTGATATCTGTGCTGATTGGACCGAGTCGCCGTGAGAACGCAGTCAGCGGTGGCGCTGCTGAGATCCTGCTGTCAGACTTGGTTCAAGTTAAAGGCCCCGAAACACTGACGCCGACACCGAGTTCGATAATCCACACTCATCTGAGACAGGAAACATACTGTCGACCCTTTTGCTGTGAGGCATCCGCGCTAACCGCCGTTCCACCGCTACGTGACCTGAAGACCTCATCTAGAAATGCACAGAGACTTTTAATTGTAAATATGATTTTTTTTTTCCTGGGAGGCATACTTTAATACCATAATAACTATAATATCTTTGTCAAGCGATGAGCTGCATTTTGTTTTATTTGATCTGTTCAAAAACAATGTTGAAATCAGCGCAAACTTTCTCAACCCAACCTGAGAATGACTGCAGTTTTGTGAGTGGGTTTTGATCTGACGCCATCTTTTTTTCCTCCAAAACTAAAAGAGCATTTCGAAGGAAGTGGATTGTGAAGCTTGTGACCTGGTGTCAAATATAGCTTCCGAATTTCTGTAAAAAAAATAATTATTTTGATATCGACACTGCACACAGAATAGTAGAGAAACCGTTTTGGTTTTGTCACAGATGAAGAAGTTTTAAATTTGACTTGGCATCTACACTCAGGTCACAGATCGGTTTTCTCTCTGGTTTATTAGAACACTTCTAAATAGTCTTAAAGCAAATCACTGTGTCACTTCATTCAAATACTGGAGCCTCCTGACGGTTCATCTTCACGGCAGCAGCCTTTCGGGCCCAGTGACTGGACTAATTACTGCGAATTTCGCTCACGCACGCACGCACGTACGTACTTCCGGCCCAACTCCTTCAGACAGCAATCTCAATCTCTGCCTCACTCTCCTTCCTCCCTTCTCTTCTCTCTTTCTTTTATTCCAACCCACAGGAGACGTGATTTACTTGTGTCACGGACAAGGACATCTGCCTATTAGCAAGTGCCACTGAAGTAAGCATCCCTGTCCCCTCCTCCTGATTATACCCCCTCGTTCGTCCGCCTCCTTCTCCCGCTCCTCCTACTTCTCCTGCCTAACTCAGATTGGGGTCGCCAACCTTCATGGCGCGGAGCTGATGAATCATCGGAGGAAGTCACAGCGCATCGGGAGGAGGGATGCTGCCCGCCCAGGACACTTCCGTCCTCTTTCCCAAAATTGCCAGGGTAACCCGACATTGTCTGCTCTCTACTGTCACATCACTCTGTCGCACAAACAGTGGAATAAAGAAATAGAGGCAGAGGTGGAATATGAATGAAGGATGCGGTGGATGGAGGGGGGAGCGTGCGCTACTGTTAGATGAGCACCGTACCAAGGTGGAGTTCTCCATCGAGGCAATTAACCACGGCCAATGACAATCTGACTAATCCGTCCAAATCAGGGAAAATTAAATATTTAAATGTATCACAGGCAAAAAAAATTAAAAAGCAAATTTTGATTGGCAAACTGAAATGGAAGACGGCCCGCTAGGCTGTTTAAGAATATACAAATTTGATGTATTTTACTTACTTACAGTGGTTTAGAACGGCGTACGACGTAATACCTAAATTACTGATACAAGTTATCAAGTTGCAAAAACTTCAGTTACAAAACTTTTATTTTTATTATTTTTTTCCTCCCTCTGAGCCAGTGATCATTTTTGTCGTATATGGTGTACGTCATTATTCTGATTGGAAATGTGAATCATTTGACAGACAGAGAGTTTGTGGCCACATATGTTTACTGTATTTGTGTGCTAACAGGTGAAAGAGTTCAGGCTTGACTCGCGGCACGTCGGCACGCCTGCACAAAGTTTATTTGCTGATGTTATCTGCGAGCTGGAATCTGACTTCCCACAGAGCCAAGATGACCAGTGGAGAGAACATCTTCCTTTGTCGACCCCCTCCCGCCCCCCGCCCCACCTTATATTTTCCACTGCAGATGCTCATCCGTCTTTTCGTATAAAATCGTTGTTTAAATTCAGCCCATAGACTCTGGCTTACCCTCTGGCTTACGCTGAAGAATGCGAGGCTCCGATGCTCCTTTCCTGTTGTAAAGCTGCCAGATCCCCCCGTCCTTAAGCGTGACCCGTGTTTCTCCTTGATGAAGATATCAATGGACACAGCTGTACTGTCTGGACAGACGGCCACATCCTGCCAAACACAGTTACAGAGAGATGAATCACTCAATTACTTTATTCAACCTCCAGAGCTTCATTCACTTTAGCACACTTAGGAGAGGGAGAGAGAGAGAGAGAGAGACAGAGAGAGAGGGAGACGGCAGTGAATCCAGACACAATCAACACACTCAAACAGAACATGAGGTTGACCCTGTGACCCCGTGTTGTGGTCTAAGGGGAGTCTGGGCTGCATGGCGTGACACTGCACTGCGGGCCACACCTGGACACATCTGGAGCAGAGAGAGCAGAAGGCCTGTTCTGACCCCGGACCATCTGGAAGCAGCACACTTAGACTCAGGGAGCAGTTGCGTAAATAAGGCTCGCATACGCCCAGTACGCTCTACACGGCGAGTCCACGCACACACACACACACACACACGGCTATACCAAGAAGAACCTTTGAGTCCCGAAATCACAAACTCTGAGAGACTCCTCTGCACCTAGCCGCTGCCGTCACCATAAGTCGAAACGCTGCCCTGCGTATTTGATGCATAAAAGGCGACCTGTGTTTTATACAACTGTGGGATAAACACGAACAGGTGCTGCAGCTATAAACAGAAGCCTTTTCACCCTCGCAGAGGAGCTCGCGAACAAGTGCCAGACGAGACTTCCCAGATTAAAGCTTGGAATGTGGCCCTGCTTCAACCAATGACTGAATATGAGAAACAGACACAGACTTCAGGTCGCAAATATGAAGGCGCAGGAGCGGGACAGAAGCTGCGCAGCTGGTTCTAGAAACCATTCCTTCAGTGATGAAACTCAGGAGTATGTTCACATTAAATGGAACTTTTGAAATGTATGTGTTGAGCAAATTTATGGCAGAAATAATTAACGTTTTTTTACAGGAAGTGGAACCCAGGTTGCGGGCAGTGATGTGCAGTCAATGGAGGCGTGACAATTAAAATACAAACAGCGATGAGGAAGTAGGTCGATCTGACACGCTGGTATTAAAAAAATAAAAAAATAAACATAAGATGGACTGTCCAGGTATAGGGAAACTAAGGCCCGGGGGCCAGATGTGGCCCGTTCATCTTCGTAATCCGGCCCACCAAATTTGTCCAAATCATTAAATTGGGTTGTATACTTCTTTCCCTGCAGTACCCACGTTTGTCCCATAGATGGCGTAAAGAAGGCTTTTAGCTTTTTAGCATTTTAGCTTTTATGAGACAAAGACACTGGTATCAAAGACATGGTCCGGAATTCTACAAAGAAAGAATCCGCTGATAAAAACCACTGCTGCAGATGTTTTAAGACTTAAGAAAAAAGTTGGAAAAGTTGGACATTTTTATAAATACAGTACGTTTTTTTTCCCCTCTCCATACGTCTCAGAACTTTTGACTTCCTTTCTCACATTCCTCCAGTCAGTCGTGTGGTCTTGGTCCTGCTGCGTTGACTCCCACTCAAACCACATCCCAGAACTTGTCCATCATCCCTCTGCCTCTTTGACATGTTTACGTTCTTCCACCATACGTCCTCTCCTTCTCGCCCTTTATCTGTTCCTCACCCCACTGTCCACTATCTCGTACTGGAGTCCATCTGTAAAATCTCTCCCACCCACCCACCCACCCACTCTCATCCCACTATAAACTGTTTGCATGCGGTGCAATCGGTTGTCATGACCGTGGCCTTGGCCGAAGCTGCAGGTGTTCCTGTTTGTGTTGAACGTCGCATTCCTTATTTTTAGTCTGCAGTGGAGCAGGGCTCTGCCGCTCGTGGGCTGAGTGCGTCGGCCTGGTTTTGTTTGTTTATTTAGACAAGGAGCCAATCAGAAGGGCAGGTTTGGGTCAACGCGGAGGGCTAATTTCCTGTTATTACTGACCCCCCTCTCCCTCTGCCCTCCCCTCTTACACTTATACATGCAGCAACATATAATGAGCAACGTAAATACAAGCAGACATTACTACAGTGATCAACATACCCGTTCTGCAGGACGTCTGTGGAGCTGCAACTCAGACAGAACCGAATCTGCTGTTCTCACTGGACAGAAGAAATGTTTTTACAACGAAGTACCATGACCCCACAGTTGGGCAAATAAAGAAACCGCTGCCACTCTTAAGGCCTAGGTTCACACTGCCTCTTTAACCAATGCTTCTAAATCAGAGGCCTCAGCTTTCGACCTTCACACACCTGCAGCACGTTGCTTTAATTGCCACCTCCTACTTCTCCATGGATTCAAGAGAGGTTGGACCATCCAGACCTTAGTCCAAAATATCTGACTTGATGGACACCGTGTCTATCTTAACCGTGAATGACCAAGAAAAAAAACAAACAAAAAAAAACACAACATATAACACTTCTTGGCTTCATTTTGACTAGTGCTAGGTGTAACACTTGTCAAAATGAATCTGTTTTTTTAAATAGAGAATTATGCCCAGTCAGCTGACGTGCAGAGACTGAGGAAAGGCAACTTAATGGTGAAGCGTTGTCATCTATCGCACAGACAAATGCAGGATGGGGAAACTATCAGGTAATGGAATTATGGACCTCACTCAGATTACCTGATTTTAATAAGTGAAACCAAAAATCTAAAGAGACACGTGGCTTTACTTCACCAACGCTACACACACACACACTCTCTCTCTCACACACACATTGCCAACTTCTCCCTGCAGAAACAATGACTTCAGGATAAAGGAATGAAATCTTATCGCTGTACAAACTTGACCAGAAATTCCACGCCAGTGAATAAAAATTGTTTGTGTGGCACTGGTATTAGTCCGTGTGGGGTGTGTACTTAGTACCTAATGGAAACCATTTTTGGCAGTACTCTTCTGAAGACCAAAACCTGGTCCAAATGAGACACCAGGAACCGTCTCAGTCTCCAGGTGAAGTGAAGAGATAAAGATGTAAAACCTAACTGCTCCCAACTAGTTATTGATTAAAATATGGTCTGGCTGTAATAATCAATGTAAGTCAATGCAAATGTATCATTACTTTTAGGGTTGAATTGGAGTTTGGGTAAATCTTAAGATTATCGTACAGAGGGCTTCCTCAGTTTGCGACGTCCTCAGCCTTCGTGGTTACTCCCATTACTACACCTGCAGGAAAGCCATGTTGGCCTTCACCGGTTGTATTCCACACATTGAAACAATCTGACCATGTTTAAAAACAATAAGTCATTCAGACTCTGATACTGAACAGAATAAAGTCTGAAAGATGTTTTATTTTGAAAATGTAACGATCCTTCAACAATGGCACGCTGTTACTAGTCCGCAGTAACGGCTGATACCGATCGGTCCTTGGTACAAAAATGGTGCTTTATATAAAAATACAGTGGTCCCTCGTTTATCGCGGTAGCAAGGTCCCAAGGCCTGCCGTGAGAACTGAATTTACGCAAAGTAGTGACGCCATATTTATGCGCAGTAAAACGATGATGGTGACTTTTACTGCGCAGCCAGTGATTGATTTTACGTCTCTCCAGAGGGTGGCGCCATTTCTTGGGGCACCTCTTCCACGGTTTCCGAAGGTGTATCCGTAGTAGTAGCAGGAACCGGCTCTTGTTTGTGATTCTGCAAAAACATTGTGATCGTCAGATGCTTCCGCTGCTTCTTTTTCCAGTCGAAGAGTAGCTTGTAGGCAGTCACGACGTCGTTGATTTTGTTGCAAAATTGGACCGACCGAACCATATCGTCGTCCCACTCCTGTGACATCTCTTGCAGATCCAAATCCGGGATACAGTATATTTTATATATACAGTTTTCAAAAACCCGCAAAGTTGTGAATCCGCGAAAGATGAACCGCGAAATAGCGAGGGACTACTGTACTTGCATCCTATGAATACAGACCAAACAGGCTAAACTTTTAATCATGAAAACTCCAAACAGAAATACTCGCTGGGTATCGAACAGTTGATCTTTTTGCAGTAAGGCAGGAGCACTGACCTCCCTTCTGCTGTGTAACCCAAACAATTCAATCAGTTCTGCTTCTGTTCTGCAGCAGAGTACTCAGTAATAATAACTTTAAATGGTAGAACCTCTTTAAGGGGGAGTAGGTAGGACGACAATTTACTACAAACAAAAATGAAAAAGTATGAACAACAGGCAATTAATCAAGTTTCACGCTCGTACACTGAAGGCACCCAGAAAAATGTATCTTCATTACCGAGACTGAGTGAAGGTAAATGTAAGGTCGTCACAGAAACGACTCTCTGGCACTTCATGTTTATCATTCAGGCCACTTCCTGGTGAGACATCGATCCTGTCAAGTGTCTGAACATCAATCTTCACTTATTTGACGCCGTGGAGTTTTGTTCTCATGACTCACTGTGCTCCGTGATGTGCTCCTCTCAGGAAAATTAAATTTTGGAACACGACTGACAGACGAGGTCCTTAAGCACCATCGTTTCCATGTGTTCCCCAAACAACACTTGACATGTTAGTATTAGTCACTGTCGTCAAAGCAGGGTTCATTGCCGTATCCTGTCCTATCGCATTATATCGTATCGCATTGTTTCTCAAAGACTGGGTCGCGACCCTCAGTTGGGGCAAAAGAGATGGGTTTTTTTTTGGGTCGTCTTGCATCATGTTTCCCAGCAGTTTATGAATAATGTCTATTGACTTGGGTCGCAAAGTTTTGTGACTTAAAATATGGCTCTCCAGAAAAAAAGGTTTTTTCAAACACTGTCATATTGCATCGCATCGCATTGCATCGTATCATATCATATTAGATTCAAATCAACAGGCAAATGTTTTGTTTAATATTGTGAAATAGAGGTAAAAAAATGAAGGCATAGTTTTCACTTTGAATCACAGTTCTTGATGATATACCATATCTGGCCAGCAGGGGCACAAACACCTATCTCATACTTTCCAGTCTTTTTCCTTGTGGTAAACATTACCACTTAGACATCTTTTGATGGGAAATTACACCTATAGAAAATGCAAACAGAGGGTAATACCACTGCAGGTGAACACTGTCGATGATGAATGTTTTTTACGTTCTTTGCTGTGTCCCTAACTCAGCTCGATCGTGATGCGAATATAGCATAGCATAGACATATAGCCACCAAAACTGTCCTGCCGAACGACTTCAGTAAGATTAATACCACATACTTTACACTGTCCACATAAATATTCACAACGGCATATCCCCTGATCAAAGAGTCACACGCCGAGTTGTTGCAACTGTTCTGCTCAAAGTCAGAGCCATTAAAAAGTCAGAGCTATTAAGTCAATGTCAGAATCTGCACACTTGAATGTACGCGTGGCTCCATTTTGGTCTGTGTGTGACGGTGGCGGCGTGTCTGCCACTGTCGCTCTAATACAATTAACAACATTTAACACAGTTTTACAGTGATTTTTCGAAAGGTGTTTTGTGTCTATTTGAGGACAATTTGATCCTATAGACCAGGGGTGTCAAACTCATTTTCACATCAACAATACAGTTCCTGTTGAAGGGCCGGTTTTAAATGGAACACTGTATAGATCAGGGGTCCCCAAACCCTGGTTCGCTGACCAGTACCAGTCCATAGGTCATTTGGTACCAACTCGCAGTGGGACACAGTGAAACAATGAAAGATTCTAATTAACTTGATTCAAAAACCATTTACTTTCTTTATTTGGCGAGTATCTGGCAATATACCCACAACAATGGCTTGGCGGGCCGCATTTGGCCCCCGGGCCTTGAGTTCGACACGTATGCTATAGACCTTCATTGGCTACTTCTTAGGCTAGCTTCTAGGTACCTTCTTATTTAGCTTTTACTTAATATTGATATTTTAGGGATCATTCTACATGCCCGAGGTAAATGTATGCTCTTTTATATTACATTTATTAACTTCAAATTAATTTTTGGGCTACATAATTTGTTCCATTTTGACCAGGCTAACTGCTATTTTCATGGCTAAAATTAAAATAATTGCATTCTGTGTATCGTCTTATTTACTTTCAGTGTTTTAACCCTCTTCTTGGCTCGTCCTGGTCACCTTATTTTCTTGTTTATCATAGATTATATGAATCTTGAATCTTATTATTATTTATCATTGTTACTTGGATTGTTTTTATTTAAATGTATCAGCTGTTTTTTTTTTTTTTTTTTTTTTTTTTTTGGGTTTTTTTTACAGTTGTCATTTCCTGGTCATGAGATTTTCTGGAGTAATTTAAAACAACCCGAATTTCATAGTTTCTGCCTCATGCCGATGGCCGACCAGGGTGCAACCACAACACTGCTGAAACAGAGGCAGTTCAAGAGACCAGACACCTTCTTCTCTCACCCTCCTCCTCCTCTCCCGACGAGGCCTGCTCATTGTGGATGGACGCAGCGGTATGGAGGAGGGAATTCTGGGATGCAGAAAGGATGAATGGCTTGTTAAGAAGGCGGTGAGGTATTACTTTAAAAGTTTCTCTCCACCCCCGTCGGAAGCCGGTGGGACAGGCGGCCGACGGCTTTTCCAGAGGATGGGAAACCTGGAGGTTGGAAATGCTGCTCATTTGGAGAAGGCATGAAGTTGAGGCTGAGCTGAGGCCCTGACTGTGTGACGTGTGAACTCCGAATAGCCACACACATCTGTTCATTACACGGCCTGCCAGTGACTTTTGCTTCTTTTTTTTCTTTTTTTAAAGCTGGTTAACCCCAAACATACACTATTTTTACTCCCGACCTAAGTGGTTTTATAGGTTGGAAAGAATATTTCACAGATGGCATGTTTTTGTAAGGAGCAAAAATAAATGTGGTTTATAAAATAAACCGTAGTTCGTTCTCGGTGCTGAACAGCTGTCAAGTTCCAGTGGTTTCCCCACTTCCTCCAGTTTTGGAGCCAGACTCAAATGATCTGCCGCGGCCTCTCGTTTTTCACGTTTGTTGTCATGAAACAGCACTGGACACACTCCGTGACAGAGGTCTGTTTACCATCCAGGGATTATGTTGGACTTACAGTAACACTGTGTTAGGATTTCTACCATCTAGTTCAAGATCCGGATGTTGAAAATATACATATGTAGTTGAACGCTTTTCCAGCATTTGACCTCTTTACTCTTATGTTCAGTGAACGCAGATATATCTTGAATCGGACTGACCTGACCTTCAGACAAAGAACTTTATTGATAAAGGTGAGTTTGTACCTGTGTGTAAAGTCACTCCACACTGGGACAATTACTCAGCCGGAGGATGAATGAGGTCTGCGGACGAGGGTTTTGTGCGTTTGCGAGAGGGTGGACGGGAGTGAGCGAACGGACGGGGACAGAGAGGAGGAGCACCGGGACTCGGACAAGTGATTTTCCAGATGAGATCTAATATGTGAGACGATGCATCCTAAAGAGACATTTTCTCATGGGTCCAGTCCATGAATACAAATTCACCCTACCGCCCCCACAGGAAGGACAGATGCACCTTGCTTCAACCCGTAGTGGAGAGGCGCAGCCTGTATTTTATTTTCTCCCGTCCAATCACAAAACTCGAACCGTATGACTTCACGGCGGCTCCAGTGAGTCATCCATTCATACCTTTTATCTTGTAACTGAATCTGTGTGCTGCTGCTCAGTGTCACGAGGCCTCGTATTTATAATGACGGCGTGAGTGTCCGCGAGCATGTTGGCCGAAACGTGAAATGGTGCCACTGAGAAGCAGCAGGTGAGTGTGTCCAAAGGAGGGAACGTAAGGAAAATAGTAGTCGGCTCTGCTTAAGGGGCTCTGACCCCAAGAGGGGCACGGAGGAGGGTGGGGGGGGCGGGTGTGGGCGAGTGTGGGTGGGAATCAACAGGCAGTTATCGCTCATCTCCCGCTCTTTCTTTTTTTCCCTTCGTCGTTGCGTGTGTTGTTTGTTTACATGCGCATATAGGCATGCACACACGCCTATAAACATGTGAGTGCAAGATGAGAGAGGCAGAGAGAGAGAGAGAGAGGGCGAGGGGGAGAGAGAGTTAACGGCTCGTCAATGCACTGGGCCGGACTCTGTGACATCACTCTCTGGGAGGATCTAAGTGGTCAGCAGAGTCAATTAGACTTTAGCAGCTGTTCACTTTGTATGGCAAAGCAAAAAAAAAAAAAAGTCCAAAAAAGGTGTGTGTGTGTGTGTGTGTTATGCAAAGAGGGCGAGAAAGAGAGAGAAAGAGAGAGAGAGAGGGGAAATGGGAGGAGATACAAAAGGGAGGAACGGAGAGGAGAGGAAGGGAGAGAGTCATAGTAAGGAGGTTTATGAACAAAAGGGAGTTGTTGTCAGTGATACGGCACAGACAGACAGACAGACAGACAGACAGCACAGACGTACAGACAGAAGTCATCCCGCAGCAGGGCTGTGTTTGGAGCGAGCAGAGGTGGAAGTGCAGGTCGGCACAGAGAGGGAGTTTCCTAGAGGCAGAGGTCAGGCGGAGAGGAAGCCGGTGGATGTTTTGAAGAGTTTGCTTATCTGACACTGACAACAGGATGACAGACTGAGTGAGTGAGCGAGCAGTGAAGTGAGGGGAGGAAAACATGGACCCAGCAGCTCTATATAGGAGACACGGGAGAGACAGACAGATGCTGCCCTGAGACAGAGAGACACACAGGGGTGAGAAAAGGGAGAGACACCGGTAGAAACGGAGAAAAATAACAGAGAGGTTGTCCACTGTTGTCCACTCTGCCCAAAGGAGCGGGAGCGAGAGCCGAGGGATCCTAACACTGGAGCTCAAGGATAAACCATGGACTCTGCATACATCCCACCACACCTGGACGTGAGTACTGCATCTCTGAAAACACACACACACACACACGTCTGTCAGGCCACAAGCCACAGGAACTGTGCTGCTGCTGAAACCATTAGTCACCCCCGGGGGGAAATACACAAACACACGTACACGTACACACGCACACGAATTTGTAATCACCGCTGGCACACCGGCTTGCTCAATCCAAATCCTGAGCAGTAAGCAACTTGTCCAAGAATAATGTGCCCGTTATGAGTTCAAAGAGCATCACGTAATTCACCGGCACTCGCAACACTGGCTCTGAGGCTCGACACCGCAGCTTTAATGTGAAAAGCAGAGTTGTGTGTGTGTGTGTGTGTGTGTGTGTTTTGCTCCTGTAATTCACATCACTTCAGCTGTCAGACGCACGACCGGAGCAGCCTCGGAGCTCCTCAGACATCCTGAGTCCTGGATGTGTCAGTCTTTCCACCGACGCTCTGGCAGAGCCGGTCCTCGGCGGAGGCCTCCTGTTAACCACAATGCACTTGTGACAAACGAGGAGACCGGCGGGCATCCTCGAGCGGGCTGAGACATAAAAGTGTCAGAGAGCTGCTGCTGCTGCTACTGCTGCTGCTGCTCAGATCAGGTGCAAACGGGAGAAAAAAGTCCAAAACTTGCTGTGCGGTGTTTGGCCACTTTTAGGAGTTAGATTTAACGTAAATGACTGGATATCGATTTCAAGACGTGCTAATAGGTCAGGCTGAGGTTGAAGGTTCAACTCCGCGATCTCAGATAATCCGACTCAGTTACATTTTGACAGAGTGCACCAATAAACACAACTGTGTGTGTTTACGTCCAAGTCCATCTCCCAGCGCCACCTTAGCATCTGGCTGCGCATACGTGTTACGCTTCTCTCTTTCCTCCCCTGTAAGCATGTTTAAACCTCGTACGGTCCCTAACCTCTGCGGTCGTTAGCCAGCTAATCGCTCCAGCTGGGATGAATTCAAGCGCTGCTGCAGCCGTCACCTGTAATATTGTTCTAATGATTTCATCTGTTGAGCTTCAGAAAGCTAAAGTACGACCGGACTCAAACCAATTTTCACCTCCACTCACCGTCGAATCCGGAGCGGTGCAACAACGACTTGTTAAAACACGGGAAGTCTCTCTCTCTCAGACATAACCTCACGGATAATTACACGGGCTGAATTAGTTAAGTCTTTTAATGGTACGGCACAGGAGCTGCTGTGTGAACACAGCGGCGGCGGCGGACACAGCAGGTGTGTGTGTGTGTCTGTGTGTGTGTGTGTGAGGCTTTCTAAAATGACATATTTTCAGGCGTATGAAGCTCAGAAGCTCAGAAAAAACAAAAAAAAAGTCAACCCTGTGGCGTGTATCATGTTCTGAAAGAGTGAAATAGCAGCATCGAAAAAAAAAAGTGAGCTGGAAGAACGGGAGGGAGGGAGGGAGGAAAGGAGAGAGGGAGTGAAATCAGGGAGAGTGACCGGAGGAATTCTGTAAAAAAGAAACAGGGGAAGAACAACAGGAAGGGAAAGTTGAGGGACCAGGCATAACATGAAGACAGTGGCGGTGGATAAATCAGCCGGCCGCGGTGACACTCCGGCCCTCTGCCCCTACACCCCCCCGGCACCAGTCGGCCGCACTCTTCCGCAAAAACACCATTCATTTTAGGCATAGGAAAGAGAAGGAACGTCCATGGAGGAAGAAAGGGGAAAAGGGGAGAGAGATAGAGAGTTGGAGGAACGGGAAGGTGATGCATGGCACTGTAGCACGAAAACAGAGCGAACGACAACAAGTGAGGACAGAGCGGAAGGTCAAAGGTCAATGAGTGCCAGAAGGAAGGAGGAAGGGGGGGGGGCGTGAGGGGTGTTGGAAATGAACAGATAAAACCAGAGACACACGACTAAAGACGTCGGAGGTCAGAGGTTGCCATGTCTGTAACACAACAGGGTCACGCTGCCGTCTGCGAAGGAGGAACGCTCGCATACAGTGTGTCCACAAGGAGGCCGAGCTGCATGTGCGCACATATTTAGGGTGACTCCACCCTAATTCCCAGCCTTTTATTGGTCTATTGTTGTGGCAGATTCATATCAGCAATGAAAGAAGAAAACAAACTTTGAGGAAGAAGGCAGAGTGTGAAATAATAAGTGACAGAAATAGCTTGTTTTACTGTAACAAGATTCATTTACTCACCTCCAGGTGGTGCTATGAAAGTTCTGGCATAACAATATTATTTATATAAATCCAAAGCCATGACAACAGGAAGTACAAGCCCAATTAGGTTTGGAATGGTGGTCCAGGGGTTTACTGGGAAGGACAGTATATTTTAAAATAATGTGAAAACAATTTAGAAACTTTATTCTACATTTGCTTAAAAATGTGTAAAATATGTTACAAAGGGGCTCTTATTTTCCCACTAGGATTAGCAAGACTCCTTCAGTTTGGCTAAGCTAACGCGGCTAACCACCACTTCCACCCTCACTCTCCTTGCTTCTTCTTCATCTTTTGGTTTTAAAAGCAGTTCTGAACTATTTTATTGGCATTACTGCCATCTACGGACAGTTTAATATATTCGCATAATAAATAAATATTTTGAAAAAAAAAAAAGATTTCCTAAACCCTCTACTATAAACATTAGACTAAATTCTTTGACCACAGCCTGAGAACACACGACAGGGTGTGTGACCACATAGTTGTGTGAACCTTTGAACCTCACGGGCGCCCGGGTGATTTTTTTTTTTCATACGAGGAAAGTACAGGATCCACGAGGTGTTGTTCTCCTCAATCTGCTTTACGAGCCTGCTCGGTATGGGAGAGGCTGTCCAGCACAACGGTGTCTAATCTGTAATTGTCCTGCGCTGTGTTGCCTCAGGTAAAACAGCCCTGGGTGGGGTGGATCGAGTTTAATGGATACCTAACAGCAATCCCACGCTTGCAAGTGGCTTATTTTCCCAGGGCTGCACTTTGAACCGCATACCATGATCCACACACATACACAGAAATACACACGCAGGAAAATATACCCACCCACACACACACACCTTCACCCCCCCTGACCTGCTTTTAACCCTTTTTGTGGCAGTGCGATGAGATTAGCGGTCATTACAGTGTCATTATGTGTTTTAAACACCTCTCTTATCTCCATGCACAGCACCTAATCAATCCTCCGTCCCTTCCAGAGATGAGATAAGACGATTCAGGACAGAGATAAGACACGGGTTGCGCACTGCTTGCATTATCGCAAGTTCATTTCCACCTGTTTAGTCATCCAACGGCCATATTTTTTTTTTTTGGTTTTTTTACAACGTAAATTTGTTTGCGGAGGATTCGCACAAATAAAGTTCTCTAACTCCGGACCAAAGGTCAACAGGTTTACGCCTTTTACTTTGACCTTTTTACACCTCAGCCTCGTCAAGGTGGGAGGGTCTGAGCTTCACTGGTTGCTAATTACTAGCTCAGCGTTGAGCAGCTGCACTACAGAGGTGTAGGATGTGAGCCGGGTCACAGAGGTAATGGTGTGACCCTTGCAGGTGGCAAAGTTCCCGCACCGGGAAGAAGGGTGACGGGAGATGAGACAACCACTGAGTTGGTTTTCTGTCAGGACAGAAATGTTAGTAACCACAGCTGGTTTTGACATTTTCAGAGTTGTAACTGTTGGTGAATCCATAACAAAACACAAGTGAACAGGCCTGACGAGTCGATCCAAGAGCTCTAAACTCTTACTAGTCTCTTACTAGAGTATTAAGAGGCCGAAGTTCTATCACGAATTAGTCGAGTACAACCGAGTTGTTGGCAGGATGACATCATCTCTGCATGCATAATGGAGTCTGTTTAAAGCACTGACTGTAAATAAGAAATGGAGAGTGACCTTCCTGCTTCCTCTCTTGTACATTTTAATTAACGGATGAATGGCTTTTACAAATGAATGTTGTGGAACTGAGAGTTTGACTGTACATATTTGTTTACTTGAAAAGATCCAAGACGACGCCTACTTTGGACAACTCGCGTTCACTCAAAGAAACACATTGGTGCAGTGTTAACACTTACATACTGTACATAAATACATTTGACAAACTGCACTTGAATTGTAGGGTGTCCAGTAAAGTCCCAGTCTTAGCAGCACGGCGGTGTCAATCAAAAAATAGTTTTCTCTCCAGTGAAGTAAAGTGCAGCCCATATTAAACACATATTATATATGTATATATATTTTGTCAAAACTCACTTGAAATACACTGTGACGTAGAGCAGAGAGAACCTTTGTCAGGTGACCTGATACTTCGACTCCATAACATGTCAGTGTTAGTCCACAGATTTTGATTAATGTCGCGTGTCTGTCTCGGACTGCGTTGATCTCTTTCGCATGTGACGGCACAGTATGATTAAAAGTACACATAGAGGCGGTTTAATTACTCCTGCTCAGGCGTCCTGGGAGATATACGAGTCTTGGGGGTCAAATGTTAGCCATAAATTAGCAAAAAACGAGAGCGACAAAAGTACTACTGCCAGCAGTATCAAGCAAACAACTTCAGCGGAAGATTTCTTGAACATATGCCACATGAATGCTGAGAACTAATGAGAAACTAGTGTGTCCAGGAAGGAGAAGACATGAGCATGATATACAGAGTCCTGCAGCATCTTGTAGGAACTATGTCTTTAGCAGATTCCTTAAAAGATCCTTTATCATATTTCCTTTACGTCATGAGATTGTACCAACGCACCAATCAAGTGTTTCAAGCTATTGATGCAGGTGACATCATCCTTGTTTTCTTCTTCTTTCTTTCCTCCTTCCCGCCACCAGGTCCACCATGTTCCCTGCTAACCTCCTGCTCCTCATGGTCCTGCTGCTACCTCAAGCCTCGTCTGGTCGCCAAGGTGGAGACACCAGCAAGATCGACCATGGCAGGGTGTCCTCTGTGTCTTCCTCTGTGCCACAGCCAAACACTGCCAGCTCCCTCCTGGAGCCCAGTCTGGCTCACACCATCCAAAGTCTCCTGCTGACCCGACTGGGCCTGCAGTCACAGCCTGACCCGCGGTCTGGGGTTCCGGTGCCGCAGTACCTCCTGGATCTCTACCGCTTCCACCAGGAACAGTACCATCTATTGGAGGATCCTTCGTTCAGCTTCCCCAGCCAGCACATCCAGCAGGCCAACACTGTCCGCAGCTTCCACCACAGCGGTAAGCTTGACTATTCACATGGGGTTTGAACCCTACCCTTTATGAGATACACCTAATGAAAAAAGCAGCAGGATTGACGTGACTCCAGGCTTTACAATCAAAACATTACAATCCGCACCTGACAGATAAGATGGGACGGGGGGTAAAGAGGAGCTGTCACGGCCGTAGGCGTTCCCGTCACGTGTCATTTTTGAGCCATTGTTCACTTCGGTGTGAGTCATTTGCCACAATCACTCCTTCCCATCACTGCTCTGGCAGTAGAACCAGTCAATAAAACAGCAGACAGCTGCTGACAACAGCGCAACTTGGCTTCGACAACTACCACTTAGCGGCTCTTTAGCCACAAACTAGGTGGAGAAACGAAAGGGGGTTGGGACGGGGTGCGCACATCTTTGCCTTTGCTCCTGTCTGTTCTCAGCTCTACCGTAATTATGCTAATAGCCTTTTTTACACGGTATTATTTTCCACTAAAACAAATGTCAACTTTGGAAAAGCCTTGATCGCTACATTCATAAAACAAGCGAATAACGCACACTTTTAAAAGTGCAGGTTAGTAAAGTTAGCAACAAAAGCTAACGGTTGAATGCATGCTGATGTCAGCGTGCAGTGTTCCCCGACCAACTTATCTCTGGTCTCCGGTCATACTCTCCTTATCAGTAGCTTGGAAATCAGTTGAAAACACCTGCATGACTAAAGTGTTTGTTAAGCCTCGTGGATGTCGTCAGGAAAACCTGTCTAATCATTGTTGGGCAACCACGAATACTACTGCAGGACTCCACTACCAATAAAAGGTCCATTCTCTTTATTGCTATGGTCTATTGGTGGGAATTTGAGAGGTGAAACAGTGCCATTAGGTACACATCTGCTGATTGGTCAAATTGAGTGAGTTGATTCGGATGCAGTAAAACAGGGTTGTCAAACTCAAATTCACAGTGGGCCAAAATTAAAAACTGGGACGAAGTCTCGGGCCAAACTTAATATTTATTGAGAAAACAAAACTTTAGTTTTGCGTAAACACTGAATCCGGAACATTATAAACACATGAGAAATTAAATTGAATTAGTGTCTTATTTAAAAATTAAATAAAACACGCATCAGTAGTATACATTTCTTATTATGTCTCTTTGTCTGTAGTCTTTCGAGTTCCTACAAAAAAAAAAGGTATGCGCTATAACATAGTGCATACACCGCTAATACTAGCAATTCTGCAGTGTATAGGGGCTATATACTGGAGGGCCAACTCTAGTACATATTTGATATGGTCTTGCGGGCCAAATATAATCACACTGCGGGCCAGATTTGGCCCCCGGGCCTGAGTTTGACACATGCAATAAAAGGTCAAAGACGATGTAGCATGTTCCAACAGAAGGAAACCAACAGGCCAAAACTATGATAAAGACAAAGTGATCTGAGGTCATTTGCAGGCTGTATTAGCAGAGTGAAGACGTTAGAGTTTCAGTGTCTAAGAATGCATTTTCTATTTTCTATTTTTTAACTGACAGTTGTTACACATTTGCCTTAGGACGATGGATTATTTCTGTTTTTGCGCTTTTTCAAAACAGATACCACTCACAGACGTCTCCCCCGTTGAGTGCACGATGCTTACATCTCCAGCACGCTGACCTCATCGTTCCTGTTTTCTCTCTTTATCTTCCTCTCAGATCACCTTGGAGACCGTCACAAACAAGAAGACCACAGCAGGGTGCACATTACCTTCAACATTTCCTCCATCCCTCAGGATGAGAAAGTGCTGTCTGCTGAGCTTCGCCTCCTCCGCAGTGACCGAGCCGCCGTTGGCTCTGGGCCCCACAGTATTAACCTGTACCTCTCTGAGCACCCGGACGAGTCAGAGCCCGCCCTGCTGGAGACGAGGCTGCTCACCTCTGGCCCCAACACTCGTAAAGCAGGCGGTTCTTGGGAGGCTTTCAGCTTAAGCTCGGAGCTCCTCCATCAGGCTCTTGACAGAAGTGGGAGCTTGGGTTTCCTGCTGGAGATTAGACCGGTGAACAGCACCTCCTCGCTCCTGCAGCAGAGCCTGGCCTCCGCCATCAGTGACCGGCAGAATCGCAAACAGGGCCACCTGAGGGTCTGCAGGTCTCTGGATCAGGACGAGCACAGCTGGGCGCAGGAGAGGCCACTCTTGGTGACGTACAGTCATGACGGTCGCGGAGAGCCTTTGGTCAAACACGGAAGGCGGGGCCAGAGTGGTGGTCAGAGAACGAGGGGCAGAAAGGGGTCAAAAGAGAGAAGCAGAAGCAGCAGGGGCCGTAACAAGGGCCAAACCTGGATGAAGGCCAAAAAAACTGTTTATACAGCACCGGGCTGGGCAGGCGATAAAGGTGGAGTGAGCTGGAGTGACACGGGAAGGGTGAAAAGAAACGGCGGGCGAGCTGCGAAACTTAAACGCCTCTCCCGCAACAGGTGCCGCCGTCATCCTTTATATGTGGACTTCAACGACGTGGGCTGGCACAAGTGGATCATAGCGCCCAGCGGTTACGAGGCCTTCTTCTGTTTGGGAGAGTGTCGCTTCCCTCTGGCCGACCACATGAACTCCTCCAGCCACGCCATGGTTCAAACTCTGGTGAACTCCGTTAACGGAGCAGTCCCTCGGGCCTGCTGCGTCCCCACCTCCCTCAGCCCTATCGCCCTCCTCTATCTGGACCCTCAAGACCGAGTGGTGCTGAAGAACTACCAGGACATGGTGGTGGAGGGCTGCGGCTGCCGGTAGGGCGCCCTCTACTGGAGGGTGTCGTTGAAGGGGAAAG